GAGGGAACTTTGGCTAATGGATGAAGGAGCTTCAGCTAGTCAAAGGAAGGAGCTTCGGTTTATTCTGACCCTTCAGCTCCACCTGTTGCTGCTCTTTTCTTTTCCTCTCTTCCCTCCGGGAGTTGATCTGGGTCCTTCATTACAGAGGGGGAAGGTGTGCGCGTGCGCTTGTAATGCTAATATAAACCTGATCAGCCGCAGGATGGAAGCTCTTCCATCAATCTATGATCTATGATTCCTGGAGGACGCGCTGATTGTTCCTAAAACAGATAAACCGGATAAAGATGGCGGCCGGCAGCTCCCTGCTGCACCCCCCCCCCCCTAAAATAAAGTTTACAGATAAACAGGACCCTCTCGTCTCCCGCGGTGATAATTGGTCTCTACAGCAACGCAATGACGCGGAAAAACGGGAGCGTGCGACAAAAAAGTGCGGGCGGCAACGACTGCCGGGCCTGAACAAAGATCGTCAATATGAAAGATGTGATTCTCTTTTTTAAAAATGATAAAGCTTGTGTATCGATAACACGTATTGTACATTTGGAACAATAAATTCATAAATTAATGGTTTTTGTTTGTCATAAGCACAACATTTGCTGTTTAAATAACATGTATGTCAAATAAAGCCAAATAAACTCATTTTGTGTTATTTGTTTAACAACTAGGTAGTTTATAAAACTCAAATTGATTATGAAGTAAAGGATTTGGAAAGTTTAGCATGCACTGAAATTTGCACAAAAATAATTCAGATTGGACCCAAAACTGCTCGTTGGTTGTGACACCATTTTATGCAGAATACAAAGTGTAAAAAACAAGAAAAACGTGTATGCTGCTAGTTGTTTGTCATGATGAGGCCTGATTTATGCGCGCACAAAGTATTTTTTACATGCAACAACAAAAGATAAATTTCACTTACACTACGAACATGACTGCTACTGATCTACAGTACAACAAAAAAAAATTAACGTGTTAAATGTTTACAAGTTGCATATTTGAATTGTGTGTGTAAAATCAAGATTGTTGCAAACACAGTTGCCACTTTTATAAAAATAACCTGTTTCTGTTCCAGGATTTTTGTAGTTAATTGTTAGTTTTTACTTTGTTTCATTGCAGGACAAGGGCTAAGAAGCTGAGTCAGTGTGTATACTTGCATATTTGCAATACAGTTTTAGATTCTTGCCAGGGCATGTTGTCATCACTCTGTTAAAAATCCAGGTCTTTTTTGTAAACGAGTACCCGAGGCTCATTGAGATGAACCTGTATCAATAAAGGTTGAATGAAAAAGGACATGGCAAATCTAAAAAGTACAACAACAAAAAAAGCAACTGATCTTTTTGCCGGTTGAAGATATTTTGCTTCTCATACAAGGAGTTTTCTCAATTCAGATTAATGCATTCATGGTTTTACGTACTGTGAGAAGTGTATTTTGATATATTGTATACATTATTAAAATTACCTGCATCTTTACTTCAACACATACTGTTAAGTTGGAAAAAAAAATCAAACATCCAAGTTTTGATTGTATATTTTTTAAAGTACCAACTTTAGCTCACCCTAAAACTTTTTAGAAACGCTTAAACTCGTGACTAAATACCGAACAGTCCATCTGTCTACGTAGACGATCTTTGGGAAGTGGGCGTTCGGTTCCTCGCTCTTTTTCTCCCTCCGTCAGGTTCGCGTGGGCGGCCCCGTGTGGCTGGAGTAGAGCGAAACACGACACCCGCGACGCGTGAGGAGGGGAAGGGGGGGTGGGTTGAGAGAACGCGGAGTGACTGAGTGGAAAAAGAAAAAAGTCTGAGCCGGAGCAAAGAGGGGGGCACACATAAAAAAACAGTATTATTCGTCCCCGAAGCTCCGGAGGAGGATGACGGACCGCGGCAGGGCTCGAACACGCGACTCGGCAGCAGCGACAGTCGGAGTGAAATTGTAGCGCGGGTCGCATTCCTCCGGACCAAACCTCCAAACTTTGATCTGCGCCATTCAGACCCGGGCTGCTGGGTTTCCCCCTCCGAGACGCTCCGAGCAACTTCCCCGCTCCAGAAGCACCACGCTCCGCCGCAGACAAGTTTTGTTGTTTTAATCTTTAAACAAAGATCGGACTGGAAGTGACCAAAAGCCCGACGGTGAAACTCTAAAGCCGTAAGGAGCGCGGGTTTCGACCGGGGCGGACTCGCTCCAACAAGCCGCGGTGCGGAGAGAACAACACGGAGGAAGGAGGAGCGGGGTCCCGCCGCGGCTAGCTCGGCTAACGGCTACCGTCCAAAGTTACCAGTCGACGGGAAAAGTGGGCGAAGAAGCCGCAACCGACATGAAAACCCCGGCAGAGGCGGGTGAGTTCACGCTCGCGCACGTTGACCTCCAGCTTTTGAACGTTTTCACCGTTTCGTGGCTAAAAGCCGCGGCGGTTAGCCGTTAGCTCAAACTCGGCTGCTCCAGGGAAAGTGGCGCTTCAAACCGGATCCATGCTGTTCCTCTAGTCGGTTCCGGAGTTCCTCAGCTTCCCCGGACCAAACACCCAGAACGTTTAAAAAAATTAAAATTAAAGCGACTTGGGTGACTGTGTAGACCCGGATCAGTTTTAGTGAAGGGGCTTTCACACATGGCGTGGATTTAAACCGAGTTGTGGACTTAATCGGACCTTTGGTGCTCCCACGCCTTTTCCGTGGAAACAAGTGGGGAAGTTGAAAGTTTTAAAAACATAAAAAAAGGTGTTAAGTGGAACTAAAATGTTTAGAAGTTAAAGGAAGTGACACCAAAGCACTTGGCTGTATGTTGGATTATTGTAGATTATTTAATCTCAGACCCTCAGTTCTTACTCCTGGGTTGTCCTGACAGACGTGTGGATCGATCCAGATCTCTTTTAGGCCATTAATAAAAATTACAAGAACTTTGCATGATCTGGTGCTCGGAGTACATGCTGGGGATGACTCTCAGCCACCACCACTGCTTTTACTGAAATAAATAATCTGAAATGGATTATAGCCATTTAAGGTCAGCTGGCTGTGGCGGCCATCTTTAATTATGTTAACTGGCTGTTAAAGTACAATCGATGGTTACAAGTACAGTTTTATATAATTGCATTGACTTCACAACAGCAGGCAGTAAATTAACAACAACAAACTGCATCCAATAAAATAAACTTTGTTTCTACAATTGTCAACAAAATATTGAACTTGTTTGTAGTTCTGGTTAATTTCTAGATCAAGCTTTGAGTATTTTAAGGAAACAGACAAAAATCCACCAGTTTATCTCCCACATGTGATTCTTGCAGGTAGTGTGTGTGTGGGTGACCTTTGACCTCCACAGTGCAGTCCCATCCCCTTTAATCTGTGCAACAGGGAAACTACTAGGAGATTAATCTGCTGTTCACCTTCGTGCAGTTCAGCTGAGAATATGCAGGTGACGGGCGTTCGAGTGCTCGCAGGTTTTTATGGAAGTGAGCGCCTCTGCTCCACATTTAAACGCGCGCACGTTCAGGATTCCTCTCGTTTCTCAGACACTTTGCTGGCTCCCCTAAAATGAGTATAATTTTCCCCCCATTGTGCGTTTAGGTGCTCCTTAAATTCAGTTTAGTCAGAAATTGCTCTGTGGTGAGATGGCGCAGGCAGAGATCCAGAGCCCATAATGGATGTTTGAAAAGAAGGGGAGCGCTTCACCACAACACCACGTCATAATTAGAAATGTGGCTCAGATCTTTTTCTGCTGCTTAACGTGCGAGTTTATGACGAACACCTGAGCACACGAGGAGCAGCGGACTCCTAAAGGGTTTTTCTGTTGGTTTGAGTTTGTTGCCAGAGATCCACTCAGTCCGGCGTGTTGCCAGATTGTCTTCAGAACGCTGACCCCCCTCCGAATGACTTCCACACTCCCGAGGCTCAGAGCTTCATTCACTTGTGTTGGGCTTTAAAAGTGGACGGTCCTGTTTTTACCCACGCTTCCCTCAAACAAAGTGTTTGGTGGTTCCTGTTTTTACAGTTTGGTCATTTCCGGCCTCCCTTTTGTTTTCAGGGATTAAACTAAAGCTGAGTCAGCGCTCGAATCGAATTTTGTTTTAGTTTGAAAAACCTGCTGTGTGACTTCGCTCAGGTGCAAACGTAATGAAACGAGTGACGGGTCAGCCTCTCATCACACGCTCCAATTTTCCGCATGCGTTCCCCCTTATATCAACAACGCTGCGCACGTGAGACGTCACAGCTGCAGGGCCGGCTCGCTTTGTGGCGTTTGGTGCCGTTAAAGCAGCCACACAGGAGGGATTAGCCGGCGCTAAAGGCACGGCGTGGGTTCACCCGGCACCGATGTGGTCGCAGCGGACGGAGCCATTTATCAGGAACTTGGTTTGTTTGAGGGCGAATGACTCGGCACGTAATTACAGGAAGACGGAAGTGTCCGTGCAGATTTGAATCGCACTGATAAATTTAATCCCAGAGTTAATGACCAACATTCTTTCTCTTGTGTGTTTTATCACTATCACACTAAGAGCACTGTTTTCACGTGCGTCCATGATGGGTCTCTGAACAGCTTCGGCTTGGAGAGAAGGTTTAAATCAAGCTAACGGCTAGCTCAGGTAGCGTTAAGACCAGTGCGGATTGTTGCTGTTTTAAAGGGATAGTTCGGTCATCTGTGACCTGATGTTTTATCAAATGGTTATCAATCACCTAATCAACCGGAACATCGGTCACGGAGCACAAAGTGTGGAGAAAGGGCAAAAGTCTTAATCCGGGATAGGCTAACAGTTAGTCAAATGTTAGTTTTAAAGTTTAAAAACATCTTCCTCAAACACAAACCACTGTAGAAGAATGCACCAGCTAAAATTAAACTTTTCTTTTTCTGCACATTTTTGTTCAAGAGCTCAAATTTATAGTTGTGTGTGCGTGTGTATGTATGTATGTATATATATATATATATATATATATATATATATATATATACGCACACACAGTAGTCCCTCGTTTATCGCGGGCGATCCGTACCCTGAAGCCCCGCGATAAATGGAAAACCACAAAGTAGAAATAGTAGTACGAGTAGTAAGTAGTAGTTTATTTTAGTATTTCTATATATATTAAGGCGTTTTAAACCCTTCCCACACTCTTGCAATATTCTAAACAATGTTTCTAAACTCTAAAGGCTCTAAAAGAGACAGAAGGTCATGCCAACATTTTTCAGTCAGGTCATCTGGACAGTTTGAGCTTGGATTATTGGACAGATTATTGAGCATGGACTTCGTTGTTCATGATTTCAGCTCCGCTGCTCTAAGACGCCTGCAAGCGCTCTTGGCCACGCCCACTTCTCCGCTCTGCACAAGGACAGCTGATCAGCTGCAGGAGGAAGCTTATCCTGCAGTAAGGGCTGCACAGAGGTGCAGCAGGCGCTAAATAATTTAAAATAATTTATTTTAACTAAAAATTCCATACCAGTTGTGCAGCTCATCCATCAATCAGTCAATTTGTGTCGTGTCCAATCTTATTTTGAAAAACCGCGATAGAGCGAGTCCTGCTAAACGAACCGTGAAGTAACGAGGTCCTGTATATTTACAAATGCACAATAAACAGGCAGTGAATATGTGAGTGGATGAAATTGCAGAAAATGTCACTTTGAAGTGCAACAACTACTGTAGTTTGTTATTTAAGGGAGGATTTAAAATTCCTTCTGTCCTTGGGTCAAAATAACAAAAGGCCTTTAGTTTCAAGTCCTCGGCTCCTTTTGACCCAAGGGCAGCAGGAGGGTTAATTAGACAAAATGGGATACTTTGTGTTCCACGATCATCTCCAGCGCTTCAGAGAAAAGCTGCAGCAACAAACAAAACTCTAAATCATGTTTAGGGTTACAGTTTTCTTATCTCTGTCAAATCTGGTAATAACCGGGTCTCATGACTCCGGTCGGTGCAGAACCGTGACGGAAAACTTTCACCAGTAAAATACCATCTCTCTCTTTGTTTTTGTTTTTAAACACTTTCAGAAACCTAAATGCTATCCCAGATTGTACTTCCCTCCGGTTTTCCTCTCGTTCTGTGGCTTCTGTGAGCGATTAGTTCGACAAAGGTTGACCTGATCACATTCCTGATTACTACTGGGCCAAGCCCGGGCAAGCAGGGCCTGGAAAAACTGCAGCCGAGTGACGTCAGCATTTCTCTGATGTGCTGTTAAACTGCAGCCCGGGTCAGCGCCGCCGCCATCGTCTCCTGTTTAGTCCCGGCCTCTCTTCCTGGAAGCGTGCGTGCACGGCGGCTCCGGTGACCCACGCCGAGCTCCTGCACCAGACATCGTGCTGTTCAGGTGAAACGATGCTGGCTCAATACACAAAACTTCACGCACGGGAGCATCCGAGCGTTCACACCCCCTCACCTGCAGCTCTATTTATTATTCAAATATAGAAGATTAATGGTGCGGAAGCTACGTGGAAATAATGAAAACATGTTCTCTTATTAACGACTTAAAAACAACCTCTATCAAAAACATGTTTTGTGATAAACCAAGAAGTTTTCCACCAGTAACACCAGTGCGTCTCATGGAAAGTTTTAGGAATAACGTTCAGCTCCACATTAAGTTGATTTAAATCTTGTTTTTGTGACCGTGTCACTGGTATGAAAAATGTTTTGATGTTAAAAGTTGCACAAATTACTTTAAAATTTGTTCTTTTCTGCAAACGTACCTAATAAATCCACAGTTGTTGCATATTTCAGCAACAATAAAATGATTAAAGTAAGAATCTTATCTGTAAGTTTTGAAAATTGCAGCTTATTTTTATGTGCACGTCTTGCTATTGTTGGTCGTGCACATTATTCCGTGTCCGCGCTCGGCATCAACCCCTACGTTTATGATTGAATCTGCCGGGGCACGCTTCATAATGAATTATAATAAATACTTGTCATTTCTTTCGGCTGTCGACCAGCGTCCAACAAAACGTGACCAGACTTCTGAGATCGGAGTGGAAAAATAAAACGGAGCTTGAAATAATCTTTTTAGTCCCAGGTGGTCATAAACAACCGTTAATTTTAAAACAGTGCCCTCTCTTTCCTCCAAAAGTATCCAGGAGCCATTAAAATAATTTCAGGAGTCGTGAAAACAATTTAAAGTGGATTTTAAATCAAAGCACGTGAACCGTGTCTTCGCCGAGCCGTGATACTTCCCTGACGTTTGGAAATCTTAACAGGCGGACTTTAAAAGTGCTTTGAAGATAAACCCCACTCGTATTAACGACGGTTCTGATAAAGGGATCGGGTCGAGCTTTTAGTTTGTCCCCCTGAAGGCTGTTTGTAACTTCACACAACTGAACTTGGTGGTGGTTCAAGTTGTAACATTTAGGTGAAACAATGTGATGAAGATTTAATCTT